AGAACTCTAGATGGCATCAACTCTATCAGTTCTTAACCAAGATTTCAATTCTGTCTTTGGGACTGATTATGTACTTGCTCTGTTCTACTTACCCATGGAGCTAAATTCTCTGGTGGGAGGATATAGGCAGGGAAATGTCATTAGGAAGTGTAAACATCCCTTCCACAGTTACTCTTCCACCATTCAATTTGCAAGTGTCTGCTTTACCCAAATCCAAACTGTGGGAGATTCTTTGATGCAATGTTTAGTTGAGCTCTACGTCTTTGGCAATATCACCCTCTGTTGACAATAGGAACACTATCTTGTTTTAATAATAATATTGAGAGCAAGCATGCTCACCAACTGCAACACAGTATATGAAATTCAGTGGAAATAACTAGTTTTTAACCTTTTAAAAAATCTTTTTAAAAATTGACTTCCACAAGTGCATTGCAACAATCTTATCTTTCTATCAGAACATATAATTTAAACAGGAATCCTATGTACTCTCACCCAGAAATAGGATCCATTGAACTCGATGGGCTTATTACTCACTAAACATATAGGATAGTATTTTTAGCCAACAGGGATGTGCTTGGTATTTAAATGGACTCTGAAGTGAATCAAGATACCCTTGGAAGCAACAAGATACTCTTGGAAAGGCACTTTTCTTTTTAAAGCTTCTGTGGGTCAGACTAGGTACTGAAAGAAATATGCGTTCTCTACCTCATTCTTCCTCCCAGAGATAAGTACTTCAACCGTCACTTAAGCCCATATTTACTTGGTTATAACCAATCTCAAAGAAAACGTACAGGAATGCAATATATAGCAGTGCCAAAATAAACATACCTCTTAAGGAAGTACCGTTTCTAAGTGCAGTACATGTATCACCGAATTTGATTCTCAGAAATCTAAATCCCACTTGATACCAAATGTATTGATTTTTTAAAATTTCATTTAATTTTATTATAAAAATATAAAGTATAAAATAAATATACTGTGTTTCTTAATTTTTTAAGAGAGGTTGTGATTTCTCTCATTTTCAAAGAGTCTCCTTGTTTTCAGGATGCTGAACAATTTACTTCAGTAGTTTTAATATCGTTTCTCAAGCTTTTCCCATGACTTAGGTAGGCAGCTGGCTGTGATGCTTCAGCCATGTATGAGCTCCATCCCACATTAGATCACAATGACCAGAATTCCTGAGTGCACAGAAATGCAACTGGTACCTCCTTATTTGCCAGTATGACTTCCAGGGTTTCACTTACACATCCATAAATCACCGTGAATTCTGGTGATCAGAAGATCATTATCCTCCTTGCAGTACCCATTACATTTTGCAATATACATTTTATTTCACACACACACAAAAAATAAGGTGTCACTCATGATGTCAAATAATCTGACACCTTAATTATTTCAACCATAACACATAAGGTTGAAGTGATTGGATGCCAGAGCATTCCTGTTTTTTAAATCTCTAAGATAACTAGAAACACTGACAAACAAGCAACGGCATCACCCGCAGGGAGGATTTTTTGTAATTAAATTCCTCTCCATTCTCTTTCCCTTCTGTCTCTCCATTTTTCTAATTTGTGAATAATTCATTTCATTACATGGAAGCCACAGGAGCTGCTGAACTAAAGCAGGAGGTCTTTCATTACAGAAAGGGTCCCCTGCCAGCAACATCATCTGGTGCTGGCAACTTTCAGAAATAAAAATCCTTCTGTTTCACACATGCCACAGCTTCCATGAAATGCAATTGATTATTCACAAGTAGGAAAAGCTGGGGGAGAAAATGAGGAGGTCTTTCATTACCTCAAATCTCCCCCTGCTGGTATAACTACAGTGGTGTCTCGCATTACAAGCGCTCCATTTGACAACGAAATCGCTTTACATCGATGTTTTTGCGATCGCAAAAGCGATCGCAAAACGATGTTCCCTATGGGAGAATTTCGTTTTGCGATGATCGGTCCCTTGTTTCAGTAACTGATCATCACAAAGCGATGATTTTCGCACAGCTGATCGATGGTTTCAAAATGGCCACCAGGTTAAAAAAAATGGCCGCCTGCTGTTTTCTGGCACGGATTCCTCGCTGCACGGGCAGCGAAAATGGCTGCGCTATGGAGGATCTTCGCTGGACGGTGAGTTTGGAGCCCTTAGGAACACATTAATCGGGTTTTAATGCGTTTCTATGGGCTTTTAAAAACTGCATGATGACGTTTTCGTTCTACAGTGATTTTTGTGGAACGAATTAACATTATCATGCAAGGCACCACTGTATACCGTCACTGGCATAGTTATGCCAACAGGATTTTAGCCATCATTATTTAAAGACACCAAAACAAAACAAAACATGATGGCAACATAATTCTATCCATGTATAGTCAAAATCAATCTATATTGAGTTGAATAGACTTACTCCCAGATAAGTAGGACTGAAACCTGAGTGACCCCAAATTAAATTAATTTACTTATTTTAGAGTATTTATATTCTGTCCTATACAAGGGCATTTTACAATGTCAGGGCAGAGTACAGCAATAAAAAACAGTACAAAAACAATTCTGTTTTAATGCTATTTAAAACATTAAAAATCTATTTTACATTAAAATTAGTAACAATAAAGAAGCCTCCCTAGCCCACAACCTTAATTCCCAAAGACCTTGGTGATTAACCATATTTCAATGCCATGCTAAAATGAAGTTAATGACAGCACCAGTTGAGCCTGTAAGGTGAGACCATTCTACAACTGACGTGCTACAGGCAAGAAAGCCTTCCTCTGTGTCTCTGCATAATGAATCCTTTTCAATAACAGGACATAGAGGAGTTTCCCTAGCCCAGCAGATGTTAGGCTATGTACTTGGATGGAGCACAACCCCATCCAGAACAGGTTGTCTTCCTAACTCCCAGACATGTAGTCTATTGAGCTACAGAGCCTTCATCTTGCCGGGCTTCCGCTTCAGCTTACTGGCCCTATTTCAGCCCATTACAGCCTCCAAACAGCAATTCTGCACATGCATTTAGCCTCAGCTGACTCTATTGATAAGGAAAAGTAGAACTGGGTATCATCAGCATACTGATGAAACTCAGCCCCAAAACTTCGAATGACCTCTCCAAGTGGCTTCATATATATATATATATTGAACAACCAGGGCACATATTTCAGAGTGATTTGTATTGGTAGCCCTTTCCATCTCACCATTCTAGTGAACTGTTTACAGTGTAAAAGCAAAAGAGTCTTCCTGCAATGCTGCTGCCTTCAGCAGAGGGATGAGGTGGGATGGGATTAGAAGCCAATGAAGACTGCTCCAGAGGGAATTTTGCAACTGTTTCTCAGGTCTTCCTTCAGTGTGATAAAGCAGTATAAGTGGGTGCAAGTTTAATTTTAAACTTTCAACTTATTTCTAACAGTTAATGCATAGTTGAAGCTTAAATAAGAGTTTTGATGTTTAAATAACAATTAAACTGAGTTAGTTTCTCTTTACCAACAAAAATAACTCAGTTGGTTAAATGAGGTTTTTTAAATGACTGCTGATATTTATATACATGCAATAAAATCCTCCTGAACTTCGTTATGAACTGACTGTTCCTAGAGACATACAAGCACAATAATTTGCTTCTTGGAGTAATAAATCTTTATATTTTGCATTTTACATCTCTGTGTATATAGGTCTTTTCCTTTCACTATATGAATTACTGCTCCATGAATAATCTTATCTGCCTCTTCACTGGTCAAAATGACCAATCAGCTCCCAATATTATCCATAATATGTTTCTTATAGTTTCTACAGAGATTCACTAAAATCACATTTGATATTGAGGCAAAACCTAATCAACTTGACTATCAGGTAATTGAAAATGATGTTTTACTACTTTCCTGTCAGAGACTCCAATGTTTGAAGAGGTAGGGGTTCTGTAATCTGAATCAGTACCCTGACTCATTAAGATTCTTCTTCTGAAACTGTTAGGACTAGTAATATGGATCATTTGCCCCTGTGTTGATGGGTCATGGTATAAATACTGTACTCCTAGTCTTCTTCTTCTTCTTTTGCTTGGCGGACTTTAGGTTTTGGTTCTTCTTGTCCCAGCTGGAACCACCTTTGGTTCCAATTCAAGCCCAAATTGCTGACAACTGATCTCAAGAGTGCTGGATTTAAGAACACCTATTAATGCAGATTGGGAGGCTGATATCATGACTGCAGGGTTCTCCTCTTGACCTACACCCATTTGCTATGATGTCTGAAGTGAGTCTAATATACCTACAGATTTTCTTTTCCCCAAGCATGAATATCTGGCAAAGGGTTACTTAAGTGCATCTGGCTGGGTTCTGACAATTTGGGCCTTGTGTCTAAACAGCTCCAATTTTACTTACCAATATACTGTTTCACTCTCTCCATTGTTTGGTGAACAACAACGACGGTTGCCAATAATCTCCTTGATTTTTTGTACTTCTTTGTGTATGCTATATGATAATTTGCACTTTCATGTTCATTACAATTTTGGAAAAATGCTTCCATGCACAAAAAAGTGCTATTGTCTTCTGTTGACATAATCTATGAATGAACAAATAACCTGCAGCAAGCACAGAGTACCTCATATAGGGATTTAAAGAGTACTCAAGCTACAGGCAATGTATGCCTTCATGATTGTAGAGCTTTCCTTTATATGGATACTAGACAAGAAAAGAGAGAAACAAAACTCTAGGCTAACCACACATGCTTTTACATGTAATTCTTTAAGATTTTGTGCGTACAAACACACACACACACACACACACACACATACACAAATCTAGGAAGTGAAATAGATGCAGTGACAGATTGACAAAGATATGCCTCAGTTCCCATGAATGTACAGTAACAAAGAACGAATGAACTGTCTATCTGGATACACGCTCATGCAATCAGAATAGAGATATACCTAAATGAAAATACAACGGCAGGACACAGACAGAGGTAAACATACAAGAGGAGGGGAAAGGATCTGGTGAGAGCACACTGCAGCAGAGAAAAGCAGACTGTACCATGCTGTTTGTAGATAGGGGGTTTCCTATAGATGTTATCTTTTATTCCAGTGTCTGAGAAAAAGGAAAAGAAAAAAAAACCAAAGAGTAAGCAAGCATTTTGAGACATGATTTCTCTTATGTTAAACACCTCAAATGATCCCCACGTATATCTTGGGCAATGGCACCAGCATGACCTTAACCTTCTACTCTGTGAAGCTAAAGAGCTTCCATCCATGCATGGTCACAACGCTCCTTCTCTTAAGTGAAACTCCCTCCAAATGCTATAAATGTTATAAATGTTATAAACAGAAAATTGTTCCATAACCTCAAAGCAGCTGAGCAGAAAGTTAAATTTCTTTCACAATAAAATGCAAATAAAAATGCAGCAAGCTTATTGTATACTGGTATACTGTACAGTAATTGCTAACATAAGTTCAAGACAAATTGATAAGGGAGATCTCTGATCAGATCTCCCTTGAAAGCAGTCATAACGGTCTGAATCAGAATCATTAGGGGCCAAACTAGATATTATGTTGAACATCTGTGATTAGAGCAGTGAACATGTTTTATCAGACCCATGGTGCCAGCAGATGTTATTTCCTCAGCTATTAGATAATCAACTATTAGATATAGTAGTGAGGGGAAATCAAAACATACGGCTGCTCCTTTCCTCCCTATTCCATGAATAACAATCTGTGTGCTATTTAAACTGGTGGGAAACAATTTTTATTATTATTTTAAAACCCTGCTCTTCCACTGCTGCAGCCCCAATTCAGACTAGGTCTCACCTGCATGGAGGCAAAGAAGATGAAAGGAAATTCCATCACAAATCTCTGGCCTAACTTGTGGTTTGATTTCTAACAAGTTGAGGCCCTTAGCAGTAAGTTCTTAGAGTAGAAAAGTTAAGGCCTATCTATTGAACCCTTCTACTGATAGTAATATACTACTGGGTATGCAACACTATTATTA